GTCCCTTAGAGCAGTCTAACTGTAATAGCTTTTTTTCCATCTCTGCTATTTCAACCTTCCGTAAAGAAAATGAATTTGGCAGTGCCCCAAGTTTATTGTAGAATAATTTCACCCTATCAATATTAAAAAACCCATAGGAAGGTTGAAGTTTTAAGACCAGCTGTTTTGCTATAGAAGTAAAATAAATATTAAAATAATTAGCAACCTCTTTCTTATTGAAATTTAGGACGCCCTTAATTATTAATCCTATGTTTCTTGGTTTCGTAGTATTTGTCTTAGTAGCCCCCAATTCCTTTAAAGTCTTCCATAGCTTTTTTGGGTTATCTTTATTATTTAATATATCATTCTTATAGTGGGTTGATTTAGCCTCTCTAATAAGTACCTGCGTCTTATTTCTTGCTTGTTTATATAAAATAAAATCAGCATTATATTTGGTTCTATGAAAAATTTTAAGTGCTTTTTCCCTGGTTTTTATAACATCATGAATACCTTTGTCAAACCATGCTCTAGAACGCTGTTTGACTCTAGTTTGTCTAAGAGGGGCCACTGATTTTTGGTTAATAATTTCTAAAAAATATATCTTTAAATTTTTGCCATGCTATATTAACACAAGAACAATTTAAAAGAGGGGACCAATCCATCTCATCTACCAACATCCTGAAAGTTTCCTGGGAGTAATGTTTAAATGATCTGGATAGTACAGTCTTGTGAGAGTAAAAGTTTTGTTTACCAATTTTTCTTGTACAAAAAATTATATTATGGTCACTTATACCGTAAGTAATAGTACCACTTTGAGATATTTTAGTTTTGTCTGATACCAAAATAAGATCTATAATACTCTCACAAGTCTTACTTATTCTCGTGGGCTGTTTAACCAGCTGTTCAAGACCAACACAATGACACAGATCCTCCAGTATTTTGCCATAAGGATGGGCACAGCCTGATACATTAGTGTTCATATCCCCAATTAAAATCATCTCAGAGGTCTCTTTGTTTGATAGTCTCAAGAGAACTTGTTCTAATTTATCATAAAAAGTAGAATGGCCTGGCGGTCTGAAACAGGCCCCCAATAAAATGGGATTTGTTTTTGGTAAACATAAGTCCATCCAAACAATCTCTAAATTACTAGCAATATCATCTCTACAGTTGAAAGCCATATCTGAGCGTACAAATACACAGACCCCACCCCCTTTTCTATTCCGGTCCTTCCTAACTATACAATAATTATTAATGGCAATTTCCTCATCACTTATAGTTTCATCCAACCAACTTTCCGTTAAACAGATAACCCCGATCTTTAATTGTTTCACCAATTGTCTTATTTCCTCAATTTTAGGTAGTAGACTTCTAACATTAAGATGTAGGAAATGCAAACCTTACATTCATTTGTTGGAAACGCATAAATGTTCGACTCGTCGGAGTCGGGCTTTAATAACAGTGCAGGCAAGTTACTATTGCGATTCTTAATATTTCAGATTAGTAAAATTATATCAAATTTTAAAAAGGCAGTTGAAATACTAAAATCTCTTAGATGGTGTGTGATGTTCCATATCACAAATATGGCCAGGATCTGTGCAAGACTCAAGAATTTTCAGAGATTTATGCACATTATTTGAACGTGGTAAGGAAAAATAAATATCAAGCTCACGTATTACATGCTTATCCTAACAGAACTGAATTTTTCCATTAAACAGGTGATTACAACAGGATCCTACTTTGGAGACAGGTGATTTATGACCCCATTCCCTGACCCAAACCCCAGACCAGTTAAATGCAGCTCTAGTCAGGACAAGGGCACACAATGAAGTGAACTTTAGCCAACTAAAGTATCTGAAAAGTCTGAGGGTTGCATTTGACGGCCTGTGACATTGCATGGGCCTAGGGTTGCCAACCGTTCCGTATAATACGGAATCGTTCCGTATTTGACACATAAAAGACTTGTTCCGTATTGAACTGATACGGAACGCACTTTGTTCCGTATTTTTGAGAATCAATTCAGTGCAAATCCATGACAGACGCATAACTTCTAATATATATGTCAGACAGACTATGATGAATGAACGAAGACCCGCTGCTATAATGGCAAATTCGGGGACTTGGCGCCACCTTGACGGGCTCTGACGTGTAATGACGTAGAGTTGGCTCATTGGTCGCACGTCAGAGGCGCCCGCGCCATTGGATGTGCAGTTGCCGCAGCGCAGCCTGAGCGAGCCAGACGCTCAATGTGCAAGCTGTGCAGCTGCAAATGCATTTTACAGGCTTCAGTAAATCGAGTAAAATGTGTTTCCGAAGACATTTGTAGGCCATGATAAGAAAAACTACTAAAAAAAATGTTACAAAAAATTTTGCACCGGAAAGAACATTCTAGAAGTCTAATTCTATTGAATAAGTTCGCACAAAGCTACAGAAAACTGTTGTGTTTATTTTTCTTCAAATGCAGTCTAAGCCGATGAGTTTCGAATGTTATATGTTGTATTTGTTTAAGTTAAAAATAAAACGTATTATAATCTAAACAAATAGGCTACATGGTTCATTTTTGGCAAAATGATCATGATAGCCTTTATATATCTGTATGGTTAAGTCTTGTATATTGATTATATAGTCCTAATAAGTTGCATTATAATATGATATAAAATGTATGAATTTCAGGGGGCATGTCACTACCACATAAAAGTGTAAAAGTAAAAGTGTTGGTGTATTGTTTAATACTGCACAAAAGAGGAAAACAATTTCATTACAATGAAGTACACTGGGGGGAAATGTGATCAATAACTCATGGCAACATATTTTTTTTACATATGTAGTTTCACAGTCACTCATGTAGACTTTCACAAGTCAAAGCAATTCATCACTACTCAAGGTTTAACAGCTGATATGACTGGACAGCCATTTGGATTATAGGCCTACTTAATTTAATGCAGCAACAAATTATTTTACAGTGTACTAGGATAATTTAAAGTTAATTTACCAGCAGTGAAGGTGTTGCTGCTCCTGGCCTCTGGCTGTGGGTCTGAGGAAGAGCTGAACCCAGGGGTGCCCTCCACAAGGTTCACATTTAACCCAAGGGTCAGCTCTTCTGCCTGGGTATAATGTGGGGGTGCAGGACCACCACCTGTTTGTTTTTCTTTTCTTTTTTTTGCTCAGGCTTTTTCTTGGTTGCTTTTATAAACAGGCAAACATTTAACAGTACCTTTTTAAAAGAGATTAGTATAAGTAGTACAAATTACCATTATGTAGAATATTCTAGTACTTCACTTCTACTGGTTCCTATGTTCTAGTAGTGAGTGTTGACTCTGACATTACAATGAACAAAGTTATTAATTATTGAGAAATTATCAAAATAAAAATATACTGTAATAAGTGATAAAAACATAACATGATTATGATTAGCACGATGATATCATCTTGGATGTCTCATTTGATCTCGGATGTTTTAAGCAACGTACGAAGAACGGGCCCCTGATGTTCACTGGGTTAATTTTATATATAAAATTATATATATATATATATATATATATATAATGTGTTCATACATATGTGTGTGTATTATGTCAAAAAAACAACACATCTAAAGATTGAGGCACAGGCTTTATTCATGAGATTAAAACTATTTACGTGTACATGGTTTATTTAGAATTATCATTCCATGCTTTATCTGCCATGAGATGAAGTGAAGTAAAGTGTCCAGTAAAGTGTGCGTGCTTTGTGTTTCTTCAAGCGTTTTGGAGATGTTGCTGCAGTATTTAGTCTGTCTCAGTTTTTTTGTTTTGCTGGTTTCTTCATGTAAGAACACCTCTGAATTAAACTAATCCTGAAATATTTAAGCTGCTCAGAATCGGTTTTAAACCAGTCTCTGACTCTAATAAAGATTTAGTTTTATTGACAAACCTTATTTGTTGTTTGTAGTCAAATAGTTTTTGATATGGCTCTTTTGGGAAGAATGTATCAATCAAAAAATTAAGAAAAAAGAAAAAACGTTTCATAACTACTGATAAACAGGACTTCTGCTCTCAAACATGACACACAATGTGCACATACGGTACACACATACTGTGCTTTTTAGAATCTCACATATTAGATGTGCTTGTTCACGTTATTTTCAGCACGATTTAACATGTTTTTAAATATGTATTTCACAAAGACTCAAATATGAATACCTCTTAAATATGTTGAATTCCTTGTATGTGTTTTTGTACATTTCGATGCACTTTTATGATTTTAGACAGCAACGTGTGGACAGAACTTTTATTTTGGTGTGGCTATGTGACGTCATACAGCTGCGCTGCGCTCCCACATATGTTGTGATTCGGCTGAAGACAGGTTTGTGTTTTTAAGCGTTTAATGGATGCAAATGTTCTGTCTATTTTAGATCTTTAACAAGCTATGTTAAATTAATTACCTACTATGAAATATACCATTGTAATACTTGATATAACATTAATAAAGGTTATTTCGTTAATAAAGTGCATCCACAGATGAGTAACCGAAAAGGTGCGTCTCATTTCGCGCCCTATATCATTAATCAGTTTATCATAAACACGTAATTTGGTCACTGGCAAGTAGTGATGGAGAAACACATATTTGAAACTCCGAGTCAATTGAACCAATTGCTTCGCAAAATGATTCATTGATTCGAATCGCCGCACGCTGACGTCACATGCTGGTCAAAACACTGTAAATGCAACGAGAACACAAACATGTGTAATTACAACTTTTAACAAACTGCAAATGTTTTCTTGAAAGTGTAATATTAAATGTATATACAAATGATTGGATACCAACTATAAATCAAAAAAACCTAAATATAAAAGTATATAATTTAAACATTTTCTTATTAATTTGCTTTTGATTTTTTGATTTTGTTTGTTTGTTTTGGCTCATCATGTGATTTAGGCCATTAACTCTTACCAGTGAACTGAACTACTGAACTAGAGCTAATTGAGACGCACACAGAGATTTAGTGTGTATGTACTTTTCTTTCTGTTAATTATTCTCATGTTAATCATGACAGAGTGTCCAAACACAGAAAACTCCCGGTGAAGCGACTGAGATCCACAAGACACTATTATAAAGATGGCATTTATTAAAGAGGAGAGTGAAGAAATGAAGATTGAAGAAACATTTAGAGTGAAACAAGAAGATACTGAGGAACAAACAGGTTTGTTTCATTCTCAAAGCATTTAATCCTAATTAAAATGTCCAACTCTACAGAAATGAATAATATTTTTGAAGAATGTCAGATGAGTGTCCTGATTAAAGTGGTTTTGAGTGGGTCGCCTCGAGTGGACAGATATGTTGAGTGAATGTGTGCCCTGTATGCCTGTCACATGAGAAGATCCTACTTCCACATTGGCTATTTGATATTACAACATGTCACACATTTAATTAGGAAAAATAATACAGAAGTAACCTAAACAAAACAATCATTTTGAGTAACATTAAACCCAAATGATGAGTGAATGTCAACTCCATGTAGCAGCAACGCATGTGGGATTTTCTCTTTACATTAAGACCCACAACGAATATCCCCTTGATGGATCTTTAGTAACAGGTGGATTTTAACACCAGAGGAAAGAAAAAGAAGATTAGGAACATTAGTGACATTTTAGTCCAGGAATAGCATGTTTTATCTATGTATTAAAGAAATAGTCTTTCTTCAACTGCAGCGAAGCTCCTGTTACTCTGCTCCTTGTTGAAATGTTTCAAGTCAACCTATTGGACCTTTTAAACTGAGACCTAAAAAGATGTTTAGTGTTATGGTTTTTATCTCCTTCCCATTGAAATGGCTGATCTATGAAAAAAATTGCTGTTGGCATCTGAAACATCAGAAATTCATGAAATTTACAATATGAGTAATGCATAATATATGAGTAAATTCTGAGTAATTTGCACATATAACGGACCTTCCCGAAAACTCTTCTCCGGATTCACAAACGCTTTGTAAACATTAGATTTGACCGTTAAATGTGTGTATGTTAATGAATTCCAATCATTCGTAAATAGGGTAGAAATGCCTGCTAATTCACAACTTGTATAATCGCTGCCTATGAATTACAACCACACAAATTACGTGTCCAGGAACACAGTGGAATCTTCTGGACTCATTCTCGGGATTGTCTCTAGTATATTGCATAAATGCAAAAGAGACTAATAGGCAATTTGCCTGACAATAAATATTCAATCGAAATAGTCCACTTAAAAATGAAAATTTTGTCATTTACTCGCCCTCAAGTTGTTCCAAACAGGTTTGAAACAACTTGAGGGTGAGCAAATTATGACAGAAGTTTTACATTAAGTGAACTATTCCTTTAAAGGGATACTCCACTTTTTTTGGAAATAGGCTCATTTTACAACTCCCCCAGAGTTAAACTGTTGAGTTTTTACCGTTTTTGAATCCATTCAGCCGATCTCAGGTTCTGGCGGTACCACTTTTAGCATAGCTTAGCATACATCATTGGAGTTGACAAGACCATTAGCATTTCTCAAAAAAAAAATGACCAAAGAGTTTTGATATTTTTCCTATTTAAAACTTGACTCTTCTGTCGTTACATCGTGCACTAAGACCGACGGAAAATGAAAATATGAAAAATATCGAAACACTTTGGTCATTTTTTAATGAGAAATGCTAATGGTCTTGTCCACTTCAATGATGTATGCTAAGCTATGCTAAAAGTGGTACCGCCAAAACCGGAGATCGGCTGAATGGATTCAAAAACGGTAAAACTCAACAGTTTAACTCTGGGGGAGTTGTAAAATGAGCCTATTTCCAAAAAAAGTGGAGTATCCCTTTAAGGGGAAACCAGTGCCTGGTGCTCTTCTGAAACCAGCCAGCTGGGGGCGTTTGAGAGCGCTTTGAGGCGCAGCATTTTTCCGCTATGATTTGAAATATCCACGGCAGTAACTTTGTTGTGAGTATCTCATTTTAAAGAATATTACTGAATATAAAAATGCAGTAACCAGCAATATTAACTTCTCCTTTGTTCAGCCGCTGTACAGGATGATTGGTCAGTGTGGTTTTTGTCCCGCCCCTCCTCCACTGTGATTGGACGGCTGGGTAAAAAGTGACGGTGATGAGCGCTGCGTTTTACCCAAAGTTGATCAAAGCTTTGAACTGTCAGCAAAAAAAAAAAAAAAAAGACAGGGCAAATAAACTTGTAAAATATCATTATGGTACGTAATGCCAGTGTCATCAGTTTGCCTAACATAACACAGAACGTTTGAATGTTTTACGCATCATTTACACGTTGTGTAAATTTCTTTCGTACAACTAACATTTTGAAAACATGAACAAGGTGAGGTAGAGAAAGTAGGTTTTTCAAAAACTTACAGTGGTTCCAAAGTTTTTGTATGGCAATAGATATGCATATGAGCAACTGATTCGGGAGCACTGAAGGAATGAGAAGGAAAACGAATTTTGATCTTAACGATGACAGGATGGACATTGCGTTCAGGCCATTAATTCACTAGTAACTGTGCAATGCTTCAACAAATCAAAATGATGTTGATCACTTTTTGACAGCACCATCCCTTGCCTAGCTGATGTGTGCCTAATTTAGTGAAGACCGGCTCAACAGCCTTGGAGGAGTTTGAAAAAGTAGTTTTTTTTTAGAAAATTCAAAGTGGCTGTGACGTAAATTATTTTGGTACTTAAAGCTACACTGTGTGATTTTTACCCCCATCTAGCGGTGAAAAGGTATATGACCATCCAGTGAATATTAGTTTCTGTTCCTCTCAATTCCGATTTCGTTTTAACTCCTACGGTGGCCAATGTAGTCCAAGATTAACATGGCTTCCAGTTCGACCTCGTCCATGAGTGTTCCTTCAAGTGATGAGGTTATTTTAGAAAACTATTATAATTTGCAGTAATTTAATTTGTCAGGTAACATATAGGTTATGACATCTATGTAAAATGAATAATAGTTTTATGTTTTCGTTATTTTTTTTTACCAAGCAATCCCCCTCTTGACATCAAATCAAATCAAATCCTTTTATTGTCACACAACCATATACACAAGTGCAACAGTGGGTGAAATTCTTAGGTGCAGTTCCGAGCAACATAGCAGTATGACACGATGTGACGAAAACAATTACAGCAAACATCAGATTTACATAGATTACACATCTAATGTGCGCACAATTACTCACAGTACCATATACACTAACAGAACAATAAATAATATACAATGTACAATATACAACAGTTTACAATATACAACAATATACAACAATTAACAATATACAACAGTATACAAAAATACAAAAGAGGTAATTATACATAGAATAGATACCCGTAAGGTGCAAATATATATATACATATATTATGTAAATGCAGTAGGTTATGTTGTGCTGTGTTGACAGTTAGAATGTTTATGGTTATTGATCATGAGGGATCAAGAGTTTAGAAATCTAATTGCTTGTGGGAAGAAGCTGTCATGGAGTCGGCTGGTGTGTGTCCTGATGCTGCGGTACCGCCGGCCTGAGGGTAGCAGTGAGAGCAGCCCATGGCTCGGGTGGCTAGAGTCTCTGATGATCCTCCGAGCTTTCTTCACACACCGCCTGGCATAAATATCCTGGAGGGAGGGAAGCTCACCTCCGATGATACGGCTGGCAGTGCGCACCACCCTTCGCAAGGCTTTGCGGTTACGGCTGGTAGTATTGCCATACCAGGCAGTGATGCAGCCAGTCAGGATGCTCTCGACGGTGCTGGTGTAGAACTGTGTGAGGATGTGGCGGTTCATTCCAAACTTCCTCAGCCGTCTCAGGAAGAAGAGGCGCTGATGAGCCTTCTTCACGACGGCCTCAGTGTGGACGGACCATGTGAGTTCCTCTGTGATGTGGACACCGAGGAACTTGAAGCTGCTGACTCTCTCCACCGGTGCTCCATTGATGGTGATGGGGCTGTGTTCTCTGTCGTTCTTCCTGAAGTCGACCACTAGCTCCTTGGTTTTGCTGATGTTGAGGGAGAGGTTGTTCTTCTGACACCAGTGCGTCAGAGTGAGCACCTCCTCTCTGTAGGCCGTTTCATCGTTGTCGGTGATCAGACCTACGACCGTAGTATCATCAGCAAACTTGATGATGGAATTAGAGCTGTGAGTTGCCACGCAGTCATATGTGTACAAGGAGTACAAGAGTGGGCTGAGAACACAGCCCTGTGGGGCTCCAGTGTTGAGGGTCAGTGATGAGGAGATGTTGCTGCCTATTCTAACCACCTGGCGTCTGTTTGACAGGAAGTCCAGGATCCAGCTGCACAGCAAGCTGTTTAAGCCCAGAGCCCGGAGTTTCACATCAAGCAAGGAGGGCACTATGGTGTTGAATGCTGAGCTGTAGTCTACAAACAGCATTCTCACATATGTGTTCCTCTTTTCCAGGTGGGAGAGAGCAGTGTGTATTGTAGATGCAATAGCATCATCAGTGGAGCGGTTATTGCGGTATGCAAACTGCAGTGGGTCCAGTGAGGAAGGTAGAACAGAGCAGATGTAATCTCTGACTAGACTCTCAAAGCATTTACTGATGATGGGGGTCAGAGCAACAGGGCGCCAGTCATTTAAGCAGGTGATGTTGGTTTGCTTCGGTACAGGTACGATGATGGACGTTTTGAAGCATGTGGGGACTACAGACAAGGAGAGGGACCAATTGAAAATGTCCGTAAAAACATCAGCTAGTTGGTTCGCGCACTTTCTGATGACGCGGCCCGGAATACCGTCTGGACCTGCGGCTTTACGGATGTTCACCCGACGGAAAGATCGGGTTACATCCGCTACAGAGACGGAGAGTGTACTAACCTCTGTAGCTTCAGCCGCGAGAACTCTCTCCGCGAGGGGGATGTTAGTTCCCTCAAATCGAGCATAAAAAGTGTTTAGCTCATCTGGGAGAGAGGCAGTGTTGTTCACTGTGGAGTTTATGTTTCCTTTATAGTCCGTAATGCTATTAATTCCCTTCCACATGCTTCTAGAGTCGGTGGTGTTGAACTGTCCTTCAATCTTGTCCCTGAATTGGCGTTTTGCTGCTCTGATAGTTTTTCGGAGGGCATAACTTGCTTGTTTTTGCTCCTCCGCACTCCCGGAGTTAAAAGCGGAGGTCCGCGCGTTGAGTGCTGCACGAACATCGCCATTAATCCATGGTTTCTGGTTCGGGTAAATCCGTATTGTTTTGATCGGA